AAGTAACTTTTTCATTATCTTTATACGTTTTTTCGTTTGCCGGAAAATATATATACGTATACTTTTCCATTTTCATTTGTTTGGGATGCCCAATTTTTCTCACAATCCCTGAATGAATCTCTATCTATTTTTTTTACTAAATGATAATGAAGGAACATTAGTGACAGTACAAAAAAGAGGTTCAATCTAAAGAGTATTTAACTATTTTGTATTGTTTTTTTCGCAAATAGTCATTTTAAGTTTATATGTTTGTATACTTCAAACTTTTAGATGCTTTTTTAAAAGTTTTAGCTTATGCATTGTCAATAAGAAGAAACAAATGTTTTTTTGTAAAAAAAAAGAAAGGAAGAAACAAATATTCCTGAGAAAAAGTTTTCTTCTGTTCCACGTAAACATAAAATCAGCCCAACACTCTTGTGTTATACATAATACTTAAAGCTCAAGATAAATAATATGTATCCTTTAACACTTTTCCTCATTTTTCTGTCATTATTGTCATTGTTTGATGTTTCTATTAAGACAAACCAAGATTATGGTATGATTACTCTTTTTAATATTGCATTTAGCAAAACTATAATTTCGTGTTTAAATCCGTTTTTTAGTTCATCTGTTAAATAAAAGTCCACTTTTGAGTGAAGCTTGTCCCAACAACGACACTCTCTGTTTCGATTGGAGTGTTCCTTCTTCTTTTTTGTATCTTAAACACAATTCTTGATGTAGTTAAAAAAACTAACATTTGATACATACTATTATTAGGAGCATGTAAATAAATGAGACCGACAGATCGGAGAAGATCAGGGTCGAAGGGGTCAATGCTTGGGTTTTTAAAAATTATATGTCATCTTCTAATTCGTTAGTCTTTAATTATCTGTTGATTAAATAATAATTATTGGTGGTAATCATTATAAAGCTACTAGACAAATCCCTTCATAGTGTTGTCATAATGATTATGACAGGATTATTCAAAACGTTCAAAGCAATTTTAGAATCCCACACCACTTCACTCAATAATAAATTACTCAATAAAAAAATAACTCGAAATGAAATCAGTTCGTGATAATAACTTAGTATCTTCAAGAAAAAAGTTTCCTTTTCAAAAGAAACAAAAATGAAGCGAAGAACCAATGGTATATTTAGGCCCATGCTAAAGGCTTATTAAAGGGCCAAATAAAGCCCATTATGCGCAGTTCAATTTAACTATTTAAGGCCTACTACTGATACGACGCCGTAACATTTTCCACGTCATCAAGGGCCCACGATATTTTATGCGTTCCTTGTACTCCCCTCTTCTCCTATGGATTCCTAAGACGACGTCGTTTGGTGGTCCAATGTCTTTAGTGACTAACCAGTCAACACAAAGTAACGAACTTTCGAGTGTTTGTTACCACAAAAGACACGTGTCGAAATATATGGTTCACAAAAACAGAACGGCTTAATATTTCAACGGCATTATTTACAAACTGCAACCTGCAAAAAGCAGTAAGCTTCCTTTTTCTTTTTTTTCCTTATAAGTTAAAAATTACCATATTTTGATTCTTCCTCTGTACTCTAGAAAAAACCCATCTTTTATAAACTTATTATCATGTGCT